GCCCAGCTCTGTCCCTGCACAGAGCAGGTACATACTGCATGTTCTCCCCTCCACTGTGGGCAAGACTCCTCCAGCCTCAAGAGCCATCTTCAAGGGCGCCTGGGTGGCTCATTCAGTTGAGCATCCGACTCTTGATTTTGGCTCAGGTCATGACCTCACTGTTTGTGAGCTTGAGCTCCACATCAAGCTCTGTGCACTGACAGCGTGGAACCTGCCTAGGATTCCTGTCTCCCTCTCTCTCTGCCCCTCCCCAACTCATGTGCTCGCTTGTTCTCTCTCTCTCTCTCAAAATAAATAAGCTTAAAAAAAAAAAAAAAAAGGCAGAACCATCTTCAAAATCACCAAGGGCAGAGCTAGACCAAATCCAAAAGATTCTTTGACTACCCCCCTCATTTTTCATGGATACAGGAGGAAGTTGAGGCCCACAGCTGAGCAGGAGTAGAAGAACCCAGCCAGTGTTCTCTACCACCACTTTTCTTAAGTTTATAGAAACACTGTCGGGGCACCTGGGTGGCTCAGCCGGTTGAAAGCCCGACTTCGGCTCCGGTCATGATCTCATGGCTCATGAATTTGAGCCCCGTATCAGGCTCTGTGCTGACAGCTCAGAGCCTGGAGCTTGCTTCAGATTCTGTGTCTCCCTCTCTCTCTGCCCCTCCCCTGCTTACACTTGCTTTCTCTCTCTCTCTCTCTCATAAATAAACATTAAAAACAATTTTTTGAAATGTCTGGGGGCCTAAAATGACTTCTCTTGCGATGTCTTGTCTTTCTTTTTCTGGGGACCCCTAATCCTATCTGCCTACAAAATCCCCCCTTGCGATATATCACTCCTCATTCTTGAGGGGTGTAGGTCGAAGGTCATTTTTCTGTAGCTGCTTCCTGCCAAGAATGGGTGTGTGGTCTCCCCAGCTGGAAGAGTGGAACTCTCTTTAAAGCTAGACAAGTTTTGTTCTCCTTAAAGGTGTTTCCTAAAGGTGGGGACTGCTGTCACAGAACAAGCTGCATTTGTGACAAAGTTTACCAGGAGTCTGAAGATGCATGGGCCAAACAATATAAGTAGAGCAAATGTTAACAGGGGCCCCATCAAAGGTCATAACCATGAAAACCATCCCCCAAGTAGACTGTTAAAGATTGAGTCCCAGGGCCAGTTTTTTCCTAATATTTCTATAGTTCTTTTTATGACCTCTAGGCTTTCTTCAACTTGGTTAGAGGTATTAATGTAGAAACCACATTCATCTCCTGGAGACCACAGGGACCCCCTGCCTTGGCCGTTAGGACACTTAGGACCCTCCTATTTTTTTTTTTCAACTTTTTTTTTATTTTATTTTTGGGACAGAGAGAGACAGAGCATGAACGGGGGAGGGGCAGAGAGAGAGGGAGACACAGAATCGGAAACAGGCTCCAGGCTCTGAGCCATCAGCCCAGAGCCGGACGCGGGGCTCGAACTCACGGACCGTGAGATCGTGACCTGGTTGAAGTCGGACGCTTAACCGACTGCGCCACCCAGGCGCCCCAGGACCCTCCTATTTTTTGATACGAACTCAGCCAGAGCATTGAGGGCAGTTTCCTCATATTCTATTGCCACTACTGTTGCTTTCCAAGATTGTTGAATATATATATATATATATATATGTATTCATATATATATAATATTATATACATATATATTTCTTTTTTTGAGTAGGCTCCATACTGAGCATAGAGCCCAATGTGGGGCTTGAGCTCACGACCCTGACATCAAGGCCTGAGCTGATACCGAGAGTCAGACACTTAACTGACTGATCCACCCAGGTGCCCCAAGAATGGATATATTTTTGATTGACTTTTCTAGTTCTGGGATCTCAGTGAACCAGAAAAGGCCCCTACAGATAGTATGCCCAAGACCATTCCCATCTATTATAGGGTTGCTTGGACTTAAAATCCAAGTCCCTCTTAGTCAGGGATTAGACTCCTGACCTGTTTAAGGCAGTGGCTAGGAATGGGCCCAATTTAGGGATATGGGTCCTAGGGAAGTCATATTATAAACCTCCAGTAGATGGGACACCTGGTTGGCTCAGTCAGTTAAGCATCTGACTCTTGGTTTCAGCTCAGGTCATGATCTCACGCATGGTTCCTGAGTTTGAGCTCCAAATCAGCACGGAGCCTGCTTCAGATTCTCTCTCCCTCTCTCTTTGCCCCTCCACTCCCCTTCCTCTGCTGTCTCTGTCTCTCAAAAATAAATAAACTTAAAAAAAAAAAAAAAAAGGGTTACCATGCATAGTAGTTGGGGGGCTGCACACAGGGAGTCTGCTGTTAGTCTCCCTAATCTGAGTAAGGTGGGGGCAGTTTAGATGGGTCTGGAGAGGAGATAGGGTGGATCTGGCAGAGACTCGGGATCTGGAGGGGACCGAGTTGCAGATGGGACTGAGGGCTGGGGACTTCAGGGCAAAGGATCTTTGGGGCAAAGGGAAGTCTATGCGGTCTTCAGGGGTCCCACCAAAAGAGCATGGTCTTACCCTTTGGGTTAGATAGTTGGATAGGCTTAAACCCACCTTTCTTCTTGTAGTCCCTTATTCTGGTGGAGGGCCATAACGCCTTGTACATAATGGATCTCATCCCATCTCTCTTCCTCCTTACAAAATAGGTCTAACTGAAGTATGGTATTATAATTTAACAAGCCATTTTCTGGCTTCTTCTCCTGGTCTCCTAGTTGGTACAGAGGCCAAGCAGTATTACAAAAGAACACAAGTTTTCTTTGTCATTGGGTACACCCAAAAGGCTTCCAGTAACCCAGGAGGCACCCTAGCAGGTGGTCTGACAGGATTGATGTCTGGTTCCCCATATCCTTGGATCTCTGCAAAGAATTTGTCTCCAACTGCCAAGAGGTCTATCATAAGGGTTAGTGGAGACACAGACTTGCTGCTCTTAGCACACTGAAAATTCCCTTCTCCAGAAAGCTGGTAGGTAAGCTCTCCCGGTTGATAATTTAAAAGTGTACACTCGGGGCACCTGGGTGATTTGGTCGGTTAAGTGGCCGACTTCAGCTCAGGTCATGATCTCACAGTTCGTGAGTTGGAGCCCCGCGTTGGGCTCTGTGCTGGCAGCTCACAGCCTGGAGGCTGTTTCGAATTCTGTGCCTCCCTCTCTCTCTGCCCCTCCCCTGCTCATGCTCTGTCTCTCTGTCTCTCAGAAATAAACAATAATAATAACAACAATAATAATAATAATAATAAAAGATGTCCAGAGTGGACACTGACTCCATTCAGTGAGTCGAGTTGCAGGTACCTAGCAAATTAGGTGCCAAGAGGAATTCTCCTATGCCGTTCCCCGCAGGTTCCCCAGCAACACAGACTGCATGACCTCAGTGAGCTGCCTACCGTGTCTGTCACCTGTTGAGAGCTGGAGGACCCCAAAGGGTTATGTCCTAACCGAGTATCCAAAATATGGTCCCCCAAGTTGGGTCCCCTTCTTGGTAGGTGTGAAGCGCAGAGACACAACCAAGCCAAAGAGTGGGAAAAGGAAGGGTTTTACTTGCAAAAGTTGGGAGGACACCGGGGACGTGTCCCAAAGCACTATGGCTCCAGAACAGTGGAAGTTTTAAGCTAAGGGTGCATGCATATTCACGAGAAGGAATTCAGCATAGAACTGGGCCCAAGTCACCCTAAGCTGACAGGTCCTAGTTGACTGAAGACACGTGGGACAGAAAGGTCAGCAGCATCAAAGAGGGCCACTTATGTCCCATTAGAGTCCCGGGGAGGCCTGGGACAGCTGTGCTCCATCAGGAATTTTCTGCACCAAGAAGCCAGCAGACCAGGAGAGGTCTGGGCCAGACGCCAGCCCTGCTGAGGCCGAGGGCTCCCAGCCACAAGCTTTGGGAATTGGCTGAGCTTGTTTTTTTTTGGGGGGGGGGGGGGCACAGAGAGGAAGCCTCTGTGGGTCTTGCAAAAAGCTGGGGCCGGGTTAACATTCGGTGTCAGCTAGGCAGCTAAGCTTTCCTCTGTGGGGTAATACGCTGTGGTCCCCTCCTGGGGGTGATGCCCTCTCCTCAGAGCCCCCCAGCCCCCATTCCCTGAGCCATGCAACTTCAGACCAGAAGAGTAGCAGATCCCATTCAGCTCCTGGGAAACTCCTGCCTCTTTCCACCTATTCAAAACAGTTCCTGTTTACCAAGTGCCAAGTGTTTGGCCTTCATTTTATTTATTTATTTGTTTGTTTGTTTGTTTTATTATTTGTTTTTGAGAGAGAGACAGAGGGTACAAGTGAGTGAGAGGCAGAGAGAGAGAGAGAGAATCGGGGTCACCCAAAACGGGGCTGGAGCTCACAAACCATGAGATCATGACCTGAGCTGAAGTCAGATGCTTAACAGACTGAGCCACCCAGGAGCCCTGGCCTTCATTTTGTTGAATCTCCCCAGAAATTCTCTGAGGTTCGTGTTATCTCATTTTACGTACGTACGAAGTGAGGTTTGAGGGGTAAATGACTTGCCCAGCTAGTGAATGACGAGATTAGAGCCTGGGTGGCTCCGACCTGCTTCTGCCCTCACACGGGGGGCGGGCACTATATTTAACATACCAGTCCTATCTGTAGAGGCAAGTTTTGAGACTGCCATTCTTATTTTTTTAATGTTTATTTTTGAGAGAGAGAGAGAGAGAGAGAGAGAGAGCGCATGCGTGTGCAAGTGGGGGAAGGGCAGAGAGAGAGGGAGACACAGAATCCGAAGCAGGCTTCAGGCTCTGAGCTGTCAGCACAGAGCCCGACACGGGGCTCGAACCCACAAGCTGTGAGATCATGACCTGAGCCGATGTTGGATGCCCAACTGACTGAGCCACCCGGGTGCCCCCTGCCATTATTTTTAAGTGAATTTGGTCATTCAAGTGTCCGTTTTTATTTATTATCATTTTTTTATGTTTATTTATTTATTTTGAGAGAGAGAAAGCACATGCAAGCCGGGGAGGAGCAGAGAGAGAGAGGGAAAGAGAATCCCAAGCAGGCTCCGTGCTGTCATTGTGGAACCTGATGTGGGGCTCCATTCCAAAAACCACGAGATCATGACCTGAGCTGAAACCAAAAGTCGGACGTTCAACCAAGTGAGCCACCCAGGTGCCTGCTGGGCCCTGTCCTTCCGAAGGCAGGACCCAGAATCACAAAGGTAACTCATCGTATGAAGAAGGTGGGCTTCCCAGAGAGTCCCGGAGGTGCAGATACTGTGGGTTCTAGGTGATGAGGCCCGTGCCCTCAGGAATTCAGAGCCAGCAGCTCCCAGGAGCCAGGTGGCCCGCCCGTGGGGGCTCCCTTCCCCGGGCCCACGCACTTCAGAAAGAAAGAACGCTAAGGGTTTCCACACAGAGGTATCATTTTTAGTTTGTGGCAGAATGACGGGAAGGAGGTGTGAGGGCCCAGGATTTGGGGGCAAGGGGAGGCAAAGGCAGGAAGTTATTCCACAAGCTGGGAAAGTATGGGGGGGGGATGAAATTGGCTTCCAGAGCTGCCCGCCACGCCCCCCCCCCCCCCAAAGCACCATAATGGCAGCAGAGACTTGACTCTGGATGGAGCCATTCCTGACTCAGTTCACTTCCCAACAGCACTAGGTAGAGGGGCCTTGGAGGGGCTCGGGTGAATCTGCCCCGGGGGGTTCGTGACAAGCTGCAGATGTCACATCCCTTGCTTCAGGCTGAAGAGAGTGAGGAGCAAGATGAGGGAGACCAGAAGAGGGGCGACTCTTTGAATTAGCACCAGAAGGAGGAGAAGGGAAGGAGATAGCGTGTTGGCAGTTGCCCAAAACACGGGTCTGAAAAACCAGGACAGCGGTTTCCAGGTGAGCGGGCGGCCTGGGGTGCAGAGGGAGGGGCATAAATCAGATTGGGTGTGAGGGAAGGAGGCCTGGCATCTTCTCTGTGATCCCCTTATTCAGGACCATCCATTTTCAGCATTTTGAGCAGGCTGGCTTTGACCCTTAGTACACGGTTCCTGAATGCTCTTTGAGGCACATGTCTGTCCTTTCTTTTTTTTTTTTTTTCAACGTTTATTTATTTTTGGGACAGAGAGAGACAGAGCATGAACAGGGGAGGGGCAGAGAGAGAGGGAGACACAGAATCGGAAACAGGCTCCAGGCTCTGAGCCATCAGCCCAGAGCCCGACGCGGGGCTCGAACTCACAGACCGCGAGATCGTGACCTGGCTGAAGTCGGACGCTTAACCGACTGCGCCACCCAGGCGCCCCACATGTCTGTCCTTTCAAAGGATCTGTGTCTTTCTCACCGACTGCTACCCCTGCTTTGGAGCCACTGGGATGAAACGAAGGTCAAGTTCTGCTCTTGCTGTACCGTCTGGCGGCTGAGACTATGAAAGCCACGCTCCCAGGGGAATTTCCATTCAGCACCAGGGAACTTTTGTTTTCCTGCAGATAAGGAATGTGGCAACCAGCACCCGGAATCCTAATAAAAGAGCAAGCCAAGCTACGCTGGTGAGAAAGGGAACTAAAAAATAACATCCAAAATCTAAGAAAAAGAGGCGCCTGGGTGGCTCAAGTCCGTTCAGCGTCCGGCTTCAGCTCAGGTCATGATCGCGTGGCTCGTCTGTTCGAGCCCCACGTTGGGCTCTGTGCTGCCTGCTCGGAGCCTGGAGCCTGCTTTGGATTCTGTCTCTGTGTCTCTCTGCCCCTCCCCAACTCACGCTCTGTCACTCTGTCTCTCTCTCAAAAATAAGTAAACATTTAACAAATTAAAAAAAACAGTTATTTATAAAGATAAATAAATAAGAAAAAGCCAGTCGCTTGCAGCTGTCCCTGAGTCTCCCAGTGGCCTCACCTTGACACCTGACTGGGTAAGCTGCAGCACGGTCCTTCTCCAGCATATTTTGCAAACACTGAAAATGGTAATCATAAAGATACAGAGCAAGCTGAGAAATTATTTACAGCAAAGTATCTGGGGGAAAACGTCAGGAGGCAACACTGTATGTGTGCCGTTGCCTTAAGGAAAGAGAAGGGAAACATACCAAGGCTGTGCTTCTCAAACCATCCGAGGTGAAGGACCAGTTTGTTTTTGTAAAATTTCCAGTCCACCACGAACCAAGTTTGGTGAAATACCATAAAAACAAATGCCAAACACACATCTATCAAAGGACCGATACTTTTAAAAACTCTCAAAATCCAACAGTGAAAAAACCCAAACCAATCCAAGCTGGAAATGGGCATTGGACACGAACAGACCCTTTACCAAAGAGGATGGCAAGGAAGCACATAAAATCACGTTCGCTATCATTTTCCACCAAGAAATGCAAATGAGGGGGCATCTGGGTGGCTCAGGCCGACTCTTAGTTTCAGCTCAGGTCATGATCTCACGGTTTATAATTTCGAGCCCCGGGTCGGGCTCTGCTCGGATAGCACAGAGCCTGCTTGGGATTCTCTCTCTTCCGCTCTCTGCCCCTACCGGACTCGTGCTCTCTCTCTCTCTCTCTCACAAGTAATAAATAAATAAACTTTAAAAATTAAAAAAAAAAAAAAAAGGAAATGCAAATGAGATCCTCACTGAGGCCTCACCAGCACCTGCTGGCATGGGTGCAGGGGTGTCCTAGGGCTGCATAACGAATCACCACAAACCGGGTGGCTGAAAACAACAGAAATGTATTCCCTCACAGTTCTGGAGGCTAGAAGTCTGAGATCAAAGTGTTGGCTGGGCTCCCTCTGAAGGCTCTAGGGAAGAATTCTTCCTTGCTTTTCCAGGCTTTTGGGGCTGCTAACAATCCTTGTGTTCCCTGGTTGTAGCTGTATCACTCTGCCTCTTTTGTCACATGGCTTTCTTCCCTGTGTTGTCTGTGCCTTGGCATGGCCTTCTTGGAAGGACACCAGTGACTGGATTTAGGGCACACCCTAATCCTGTATGACTGCTCCTTAATTTGATTATATCTGCAAAGACCTTATTTCCAGATAAGCTCACATTCACATTCACCCCCTCCTGGGGGTTAGGACTTGAACATATCTTTTGTGGGGGGGGGGGGCACGTTCAACTCACAACAGTGGCTAAAATAAAAAATAGAGTTAACTACAAATGCTGACAAGGATGTGAGGAGCTGGGTCCCTCATACACTGCAGCTTGAGAACAGTGTGAAAGGGTTTTTTAAATCATTTACTTATTTTTTTAAATTTTTTTTAAAATTTATTTTTGAGGGGGGGGGGCGGGGACAGAAGAACTCACTAACCACGAGATCCTGACCTGAGCTGAAGTCAGACACTTAAACGACCGAGCCACCCAGGTGCCCCAGTTTTTTTTAACATTTATTTATTTTGAGAGAAGGTGAGAGAAAGTGAGTCGTGGGGTTGGGACAGAGAGAGAGAGCATCCCAAGCAGGCTCCGCACTCAGCACAGAGCCCAACGCAGGCCCTGATCTCACCAACCGTGAGAGTCGTAATCAAGTGTCACAGTAAATGTGTACTTACCATAAGTCTCAGCGATCACGGTCTTGTGCGTTTATCTCAAAGAAACGAAAACTCACGTTCGCACAAAAATCTGTACACGATGCTCATAGCAGCCTTATTCATAATAACCCAAACATGGAAACAACTCAACTGTTTTTCAGCCAGTGAAAAGTTAAACCATGTACTTCTAGACCACAGACTACTGTTCAGCCATATGATGGAGTGAGCCATTGATACTTGCAACAATGTGGATGGATCCCAAAGGCATTGACGCTCAGTGAAAAAGTCAATCTCCAAAGGCTACCTGCTGTATGATTCCACTTACAAATTCTTAAAATGATAAAACTATAGCCGTGGGGACATATGGAGACCGTTGCCAGGGACAGCGTTAGAGGTGGCAGCGTGTGACTTTAGAGGGGTAGCAGGAGAGGGTTGCTTTAAATTCTGTCTTGGTTGTCGGGAGGTCTACACGATCTGAGATCAAGTTGCACAGAACTACCCACACAGACACGTACACATATTCACAGATAAGTGACATCTGACTAAAGTCTGTAATTCAGTTAACTGTACTGTACTAACATCAGCTTCCTGGCTTGATATAGTGCCACAGTTATAGAAGGTGTCACCATTGGGGGAACTAGGCAAAGGATTCATGGAACTCTATGTTCTTGTTGTGACTCTTTGAGTCTATGAGTATTTCAAGATAAAAATAATTAGAAAAATGAAATGGGGGCCCCCAGGGTGGCTCAGACAGAGAAGCACCTGAGTCTCGATATTGGCTCAGATCATGATCTCAAGGTTTGTGAGATCGAGCCCCATGTTGGGCTCTGCGCTGACATTGTGGAGCCTTGCTGGAGATTCCCTCTCTCTCCACCCCGACTCAAATAAATAAATAAATTTTTTTTTTTAAGAAAAATGAAATAAAAAAGATATACAAAATACAAGCCCCAATTTTTAGTTTACTTTTTGTCTTTTTTCTTAAATAGG